CCCAACTAATAGTTGACTGTGTGAAATTAGGAACGAAATAGTCAACCGTTATCTTTCCGTTAACCAGTTAACGGTTTGACTATTTCATTCCTAATTTCGCGCAGTCAACTATTAGTTGGGGAATAATTCTGCGCGAGCAATACTTGAGTATTAAAACTGCCGATTTCAAATACTTGGGGAATTAATTGCCCATTTTCCCCCAAACTAACCGTGTTTTATAACATAAAACTATTCTGAATTTTAGTCAGCCCGTAAAAACATGAAATTTTTTAAAATTTAATTTAATTTATTAAAAATAAAAAAAAGTATATAGAATAATATTATATCATTTTTGTATTTGTATTAAATATAAAATAATACTATTTCATTTTGTTTTTACTTGTGTTACGATTTCTCACATTGAACTGATATAAAGTTATTTATTTATTTTAATCCAATATATATAAGCTTTATTATAAAATTGATTAAATGTCAAGTTATTGATTTTAACATCTTATTTTTATATAGTCTTTAATGTTGTATGATTTGTTTTGTTTAAATGAATATGTTTTAGATATATGAAAATACAAATAGACTAATCTGTTAATTAATTTACTTTATAGTGAATAAGATTATTTTAGTAGTTAAACATGCAAGAAGTTTTTTTATATAAATTATTTGAGTTTTTAATCAATTTTATCAAATAATCTGTATTAAGATTAAGAAGAATACTATTAAAGTGATGAGATATTATGTTTTGTATCATAAACTATTAAATATAATTATTATATTATTTGAAAATATGATTAGTAGTATAATGTTTTTTACATAATTACTTATGAATTCTTATTTTTATTTATTAATATGATATTTATGTAATATTATACATGGTCAAGAGTTAAGTTCAATGTAATGTTTCTATTCTTTTCTTTTTTTTGTAAAAGAGCATTCATAATGTTTCTATTCTTATAAGATACTAGATTAAGTGCCGTCGATATTACAAATTTGATTCATACTCAGAAACGTGTGCTAGTTGTCAAGTATAAATTACCATTAATAACAATAAGGTATAAACCATTAATGACGATTACTATAATTAAGTGTTTAACAATTGATTATTAGGTTTAGACGTAGTTAAAAATATCAATATGTTTGATTTTAGTGTAGAATATTACGATATTTCGAAATAATCGAAAGTTTTGATTAATATCAATACCTGCTATGCTTGAAGTGCACAAAATACATCCCGATCCAGCGGGAATCATAACCTTGGCGGCGTGTTTAATGCCAGAGACAACGCCAATAACGTTAATACTCATCACTTTCTCGAACTCTTTCATATCAAGCTCCGATATGCTAGCCGTAGGTCCCACGATCCCTGCATTGTTATACATCACGTCCAGCTTCCCATGCCGCTCCACCGTCGTTTCAACGACTCTGGCAACATCCTCCTCCACCGTGACGTCGCAGCGCATAAACTCAGCCGCAACTCCTAGCTCCTTAGCGGCTTTAAGCCCGCTTTCCGCATCAGAATCGACGATCACGACTCGAGCACCATGTTGGATAAACTCGTTGGCGGTGGCTTTCCCAAGCCCGCTTGCACCACCGGTTATGAGAGCTACTTTACCTTCTAGCTTCTTGCTGCATAAACATAAATGCTATCTATTATATTAAAACATAAGTCATGCCTCACTTTATGTGTGATTTTTTAGTTTGGATCATCTTTAAAAATTTTATCAAATTTACATAACAATATCATAATACCTTTTTATATCTTTAATTTTTATTTTAAATACATATATGTTAAAAAAATTCTAACACTTTTTAAAATCTTTTAGAATCATTTCAAGATATATTTTCGAAAATTATTTGATTAAAAATTTTAACTATCATAAAATATAACTAAAATTTTAACTCGTTTTTATTTATAAAAAATAAAATTTATATAAAATACTTTAACACAATCTTAAAAATTTATTTATATATTATGTAGGTCCGACTTCATTTATTTTTTACATATATTTCAAATTTAGAAATAAAAAAATATGTATATTAGTAATGTTACATAATAATGTTCTTAAAAAAATGTTATAAAATACCAATTTTATATTAATCATATTATAAGCCAAATAAAAATTATTATAAAATTAGATAGTATACAACATCAAATTATATTTATTTATTAACTAATTTTATTATATAATTTAAAATATTTTAGTTTTAAAATATCCACACGGTCGTGCGGGTCGAGATCTAGTTTAAATTATAAAAGTAATAGCCGTGAATGATTTGGGTTAGTGTTGCCTTGAATCATATTCTATAGATTCAACAAAACGAAAAAAAAATATATTGAGTTAAGTTTTCTTTGATTAATTAGGAGTAGGGGTGGGAAAAAAAACAAAGTGAACCAAATCAAACTGATCCGGCTGAACTGAACGGCCAAAACGATTCAAACCGAATCAAAATATAATTAAAAGTTTTATCAGCCCAAATGATTCGGTTTAGTTTGATTGTAGACCAAATCGAACCAAAAAACCAAAGTATTTTTAATTAAATTAATTTAATATATTAATAATGTCAAGATTTAAGATCACCTGTGCTAATACCTGATAATATAGTTTAAAACATTTCTCCCAAGGAAAATCAAATTAGGAACACAATAAAAAAAATTTGTGCAAAACCATTAGCCTGACGATCTATCGAGTTAAGTTAGTTTATTAGTTTGAAAACCGGCTGAGTTAACCTTTTGTTAATTATATGTTCTCTTCCTTTTAAATGTGAAATTATAAAAATATATATCAATTTCGTCTGAAGAAAAACCATGAATGAGAAACACATAAAAGAACTTGCCTCGTACAAGTGCAACCTCTACCACCACCTGTGGAGTAAGCGGCTGATGACCGTTTAAAGGTTCTGACAAGAAAGAACTAAAAATTAAGCTGTTTTTAAAACCTTTCAAAACGATGATGTAACTAAAATGATTGGAACAACTTAGTAATTAGAATCTTTCAAAGAAAAATTACAAACTGAAAGATGATATTAGTTCTAATTACCTAGCGATGGATCTGATCAGTAAGGCCGCCATAGAAGAACGCTTATTTTGAGATCTTTAAGATATTATGAGTTTCCAGTTTTGGTTTTTGACTTGATGACTTAGCTGATGATCATATAAAAAGACAGTACAGCCTTGCTAGGTGGTGGCCCATGGGAGCCGCGTAAAATTTAACTCTAGCGTCACTAGTATTCTATATTAGTTTAGATAGACTAAAATATTATGATATCATTTTGGAAGTGACTACCCAAAGTAGCACCATCTATGATTTATTTTCCTATCAATCAATAGGTGCTGTCACTGGGCCCAACAAACACTAGTTCTAAGTAAGCATATAACAGCTTTGACATGCTTCTTTTGATCTTTGAGATGATGATAGTGTCAATAATTACCCCAAAACAGTCTTAATTACCAAGAGTGCAATATAATAAAATACTTAAATCAGCTTGAATATTAAGGAAAGGGGAGATTAAGAGACTTGAAACAAGTAAATCCACCATCAACAACAAGGTTATGTCCCGTCACAAACTTAGCATCATCCGATGCCAAATACAAAGCCGCTTTAGCTACATCACTCTCTTCACACTTCTCTCCCTTTAACTCTCCTCCTGCGTTCACAATCGCCACAAGCTGTTCCTCCGGAATGTTGTGACCGGTAAACACTTCTTGAAACATCCTCAGTGTTAGAGGCGTTGGGATCCCCGCGGGCGATATACAGTTGATCCTTATGCCGTGCTTGCACAGCTCACTAGCTACCGTCTTGACCACACCCGGTATTGTGAATTTAGAGATTGAGTATGCATGTGGGCCTAACCCACCCATCAAGCCGCTGATGCTGGAGAGGCAAAGGATGGAGCCTGAGCCAGCGGGGATCATGGCTCGGGCCGCGTGCTTTATCCCTAGGACGGTGCCTCGCACGTTGAGCCGCATCACTTTGTCGTATACGTCCATGTCTAGGTCCGCTATGCTTGGTGGTGATATGGAGCCTGCATTGTATAAGTAATGTTTGTATAAACACCTTTCCACGTAACAAGAAAGACGTTTAATATCCAAAACACAAGATTCATCAAAAAAAAAAAATTTAAAAAAGCAAACAATACAAAACGAAAACAGCACCTAGTTATCGCATGTACATGGCTAGATATATATCTTATATATTTTTTTGCTAAATTGTAAATATCATTGCAAAGAATGAAGGCTTGGTTACATGTTAATGCAACCCAATCTGCTTTTCAGCTATTCTGAAAGTCTAGAGGTGCAAAAAAGTTTAAGAAACCCATCTTATATATGATGTATTAATAAATTTTTGTAACGAGAGATTTTGATTATAATTCTTGTAGGAAGTATTTCTTAGTTTGGAAAAAAAGAAGTATTTCTTACATGATATTCCAGCGCTATTGAGCAATACGTCGAGCTTCCCATGGCGAGCCATGACGGTTTCCACGGCCTTAGCGACTTGTTCCTCCACAGTGACATCAGATTTTATGAAAGTTGCGGCTGAGCCAAGTTCGGTAGCGACCATACAACCAGCCTCTTCGTCTATATCTACAATGATGACTTGAGCACCTTGGTTTACAAATTCCTCCGCCGTGGCCTTCCCTAGGCCGCTTGCCCCGCCTGTTATGACCGTGACTTTGCCTTCTAACTTTCTGTATATATTTTAGGTAAAATACTTAGAATATTTTCTTCATGTGGTATTAGGAGATATAACTTTGTTAATAACTAAAGAACATTATAGAGTCGACCTTGAAGAAGAAGTTGAATAGTGGAGAACAGAGGTAACTGGCTTGGGGATCAAACCATTTGATGCAATGAGTTTAATTTTTCTGCAAAGAGAAGCCATGGAGAAGAAAATTGAAAGGATTACTAGTTATTTAATTAGATAATTAAGTACTATAGTTAATAAGCATGTTTTGTGAGTAGTTACCTTGTGAATGATCTCAGCATTTTTTTCCTCTTCCTCTTGTTGATAACTATCTGAAGATGAACTTGAATATTTTTTGGTTCAAGAGGCTTAAGCTTTTTATCATGGGAAACAACGAGAGAAAGGGTTGAAAAGCTTAAGTAAATCAACCAAGATCACATTTTATTAATATTTTTCTTTTTCTATTTATTATTCTTTATATTATTTAATGTACGAACTAGAAGTGTCATTAATAAACATATATGCGTTTAATTATAATATGATTATGAAGGGAAAATAGTTTAATATGCATACTGCATATAGTTTCAATGAATTTTATCAAAAATAATTATGAATAAATATATATAACTATGATGTTATAATACTTTATCATCATATATATTGTCTCAATGGAAAGGCTTAATTTAGATGATGACTCAATATTATAGAATTGACAGAAAATGATTCATACGTAGGCATAATTTGTTTGCTGAAATTTTCTAACATATAAAATCTAAGATATTTCACTGGTTGATTGTTGTTTACATGCAGATGCATGTGATACACATTCATGATTCAACCAATCAAATTTGTTTTATTTTGTTTTTATAAAGGTTATTTGGCAAACATTTTCTCATTAATGACATTTTAGGGTAGATATATCCCAATCGAGATAAAACTATATATGATGTTGGGACAATTTTTGATTAATTCAAACCCAAATAATGGTATTGTAACCCCATCTAGTCATCGACCGATGTCTCTATAATATTATTTGAGAAGTCAGTTTCCTATGTGTCGTTCTCAGGTTCATTCTCACGATGGTTGATTACAATGATAACCTTAATGAATTAAAAATAGTTGAAAATAATATTATTAATTCTTTTCTTTTTAGTTTTTCCTTTTCAAAAATTTCCAAAAAGATATGTAATAAAAAGGCATTTTTATATAGTCATAAAAAACAATTTAAAACGAATAATATGTATATATAATATGATTTCATAAAAAGGAAAGTTGACAAAATAGTAATAATACATTTAAAAAATATTTTTAAATAACATAAAAATGTATATATAATATAATTTCATAAAAAAGGAAAGTTCACAAAATAGTAATAATACATTTGAAAATATTTTTAAATAACATAAAATATACTTTTAGAGTAATAAAATAGTTTATAATTAGTATTATTGAATTTTTATTTATTTTTCATATATTTAGTTGACTACAATATCTTTCAATTACAGAAAATTATCTAGAACTAATATTTTACTTATATAATATTATTTTCAAATACAATCACAATTTTGTGTAGTGCTTATTTTTAAGAGATATTAAAAACTAAAAATAAATTTAACAATAAACATCGTTTGGTCAAAATAATTGTTCTAATGAGCTAGATATATAATATTTTATCATTTTTAAATTATTTATTTTATTAATATTAATTGTTTTAAATTTTATGTTTTATGTTTGTGAAACTAAATATAACGATAATCAAAATATCAAAGAAAATCTGAATTCTAAATTTAACATTATTTAAAATAAATTTCAGTTTACATTCAATAAATCTAAAGCATAAAGTTATTTAGAATTTATAAATGCATGTAACATTTTATTGATCATATGATAACTCAAAACATATTAACAAATAAAAATAAATACTAACCAACTTACAATTTTAGTTCTTTTGTAAAATTTATATATATCCATGAGACTTTAGAATATTTTCGTTATATTAATTTACGTATTTTGGAATCAGACACTTTAGTTAATTTTTAATTCATTCTAAGCACAATATATCTTAAGTTATATATACATAATTTTCCTAAAATATATTTACATATCTAAGACAACACCCACCATATGCAAATAAGTAACTAATTAAGAATTAATATATTTTAAAAATATTACAGTTGAATTCAGAGATGCAATCCAATTTATCCAAATGATAACTAAACCAACCGTAAAACAACAAAATTGATTAGATATAACATATATAAAGTTACATATAAGTAAAGTAATATAATACTATTAATATAAATGATGCATACAAATTATAAATTAATTTAAAATTAAAAGTAAATAATAATCAGTTATTATTATATATTTAATTTAAAAATATTTATACCCGTGCATGAGCACGGGAAAATCACCTAGTACTAGATTACGAGAAAGAACCCTATGGAATGGATAAGATTATAAAAGTTCTCAAAAAAATATTAAAGTTAACAAATAAAGAGAGAATCTTGGATAAGACAGAGATTCTCAAAAAGCTATAATCACTGAAAAGTTATTGACCCAAAAAAAAACCCCCAAAATACGAAAGGTAAAAGAGATTAAAATAAATTTCATGTTAGTGGCCACAAACTTGGGTTTGGTAGGTCTTGATCATGGTTTGTCTACATTTCAAGGGACAATAAAGGCAACAACGACACCGTATTTGCAGGCTTTACTGCTCCACATTCCACAACTCAAGAACTCATCTTTATGTATGGGTTTAAATTACGATTAAGATAACTAATCAGTGTCAAATTATTGGCCAATTAGGTAACTAATACTAGTACTATTATTAATTAAAAATCCTGGAAAAATCAAAACACCTTTTGTTTTGTCATCTTGCTTGTGGATTAAGACAGGCTTTAGACAAAGCAAGCTCTATTACTATGTCTTTTATTTTATCAATCTACTAGGTAATAACCCACGCCTTGCGTAGAATGAAATTATTACTTTTGTTACTTTTAAGATAAAAATGATATTATATCTGTTTAGCATGAATATTGGTTCAGTTTTATGTTGTTTTTTAATCTCTTAAAATATAACTATCATTCTAAATCTATATTTATTTTGGTTTGTTTGGTTTAAATGGTTTATGTTTTTTGATTTTTTCAATGATAACCAAAAACTATTGTTATTTATTTGGTTTCATTTTATATAAATTTTAGACATTTTTTATGTCGAACTAATAATTTCATATTATAATTTCTAAAGACATGTAAAAACAAATAAATCTAAATAATATTTGAAGAAAAAAATAAAATAAAATTTTTAACACAAAAAAATTTCACTACAATTTGAGCGATAGTGAAAGAAAAAATTAAAAAAAATTCAACTTCAATAAGAATTAAAATTCTCACTTGTGGTGAATATTTAGTTATATAGTCGTTCATGTCAATGTGTACATGTATATATATGTAAAAGTATATAAATGTGATGATAAATATATGAATATACCGTTAATTAAGATTTAAAACATTTTTATTCAAAATAACACATGATAGTAAATTTTTAAATAAAATTAAGTAAAAAAAAACAAACCTAGAAACTAATATCATTTTTCGTATGAAGAAAATAAAATTGTACCTGTAAACAATAAAATAATATATATTACAAAGTGACATCTTCATTTGGTACCTGAATTTTTCTTTTAATCAATTTTGTGATTTTTATTTATTTTTAAAGCTTTTCTGATTTCTGGTTTTTTTCTACCAATATGATTTTGTTTCTAATTCTTGATCTGATATGAAAACTTTAGAAAGATACTAATATTTGACTAAACTAAAAATCCTACTTTACGTGTTGTGTTTTTTACGTCAGTTTCGTTAATTCATAATCAATCACCTTATTTGTTGTTATTGTGTAGTGAAACCTCAACCATAACCAACTTCGGCAAGGTATGAAACTTTCAATTTCTACAAACATTATCATCGCAACATTTTAGTTGATGCGAATCTGAATGATTTGTATTTTTTTTACAATAAAGATATTATTCATTAGTTTCACGTAGAAAATTTTAATTTATTAATACAAAGGCTAAACATGTAGGAAAATGAATTAATTAAAAGAGTGTATAAACACATTAAATAATGAATTAAAAATTAGTGTTTAAACGCATTAATTATCAAATAATTGTGAGATCGACACGTGTCAATTACGGTATGAACGCATTTATTATAATGTTTCTCTTTTAATATATAAAGAATTACTGTGTCTCTCTTTATTTTTTGGCGTCTCGTTTTATTATTACAGCAACAATATCTCTGTCTTTTGCATCATTGGTGCACGTGATTTTGAATTATCACGGACCGTAATTGATTAGTTTAAGCCCAATTACATAGTCTTTCTTGGCTAATCTTATTAAGCCCATTAACATATTCAAACAAAAATCAGAGCAAATGGCGACACACATGGAAGCGCAGTCATTCTCTGAATCATCGTGTGTATCCAAGAAGGTCAAGTTTAGCTCTGACTTTGAGCTGTCATCATGGTGGAATTGTATCTGGTTCTAGAAGAACTGGAGTAGTTGCTGACAGCCATGGGAAACGAGGTGAGAGTATTCATTTACTTGCTTTTCTAATCAAGTGTGTTGTAGAGACTAGAGATAGGCCATCCAACGAAAGTTTTCAGTTGGAACAGAAACTTACACTTGCTATAAGAAGTTTATTCATGATGGGTTTCTTGAGGATGTTTTTGTGTGTATCCAAGAATGTCGAGTGATCAAGATGATGATGTAATTGTTACCCTGTGTTAAAAAAGTAATCTTTGCACATACACACTTTTTACAAAAAAAAAAAAAAGAATGTCGAGTGGATTGAATTTGTATGCTCTGAGTGTTCATCTCCTCTTGGATCCTATTCTTATGGTGGTGAGAGCAACTAGAAACCCATATATAGTGGAGTTACACTCTTCAGTGCTCGCTTGGCTCATCGATACATCTATGATATATTTAATTCCTTATTCACTTATCCCATTCTTTTTTTTTGAACTGAAAAACACAATAACTTTTTTTGATAAAAAAATAAATAAATAAATAAATAAAAAGTTATCCCATTCTTTCTTTCATACTTTGATTTCGTGATGAACATGGTTAGAAGTTTTCTTTTTTTGAACACCGGTTAGAAGTTATATTATTTTGTTTACTATGGGTTCTTAACATGTTGTCTTGTTAAATTAAGTTTTGTTCGTCACATAATCAAAATGAAATCGATTTAATGCGACAATATTGTTTGTTAACCTTTTTTTTAACCTTATTATATAGCGATAATTTTATTACGTACCTTATTATATAGCGATACTAAATTTTATGCGCTATTTATTTATATATAGTTTTTTGAACTTTCAATGTATATATGTAGTTTCTTACTTCTTGTTTTTTTACAGGAAGAGTTTGATTTTACAGCATTAATATTACAGGAAAAGGAATTTGTTCCCTTTTAAAAAGGTGCCCAATTTTCTGATTTGAAGCTTTCTAAATTTCAGGGACTCGTTTTTTGTTCTGGCATTACTAAATTCCAGGACACTTGATAAAAAAATCTTTACTTGATATAAAAATGACGTTATGACGGGTTACCAATCATTTCAAGTGTATTTAACTTTTGCTAATGACATTAACATGAGTTAAGTTAACTAATTTGAATTAGGAAATAACATCCGTTACATAAGTGCATGGACGCCACGCGTTGCATGGCTTATTAGTACATAAGCCGACGTCATTAGCATGATGTTAATACACATGACTTATCATCACCATTAGTTTTTTTACACAACACTGTCTCTACAAAACAGAGAGACAGAGACATGACAGAGAGATAAGCAAATCAGCAAAGATGGAGGCGTGACGGTAAGAAGACGGCAACGAAGAAAGCAAACAAGACACGAGAAATCAATCTGGTGTGCAAGTACTCAATCAATAAAGTTTATGATTTTTTTAAATTCAATTTGAATCTCTCTTTTTTCAGATAAGCCCACTTCAATGGATTCCTCGTGATTCCACTTTAATACCCTTCTATACAATCTCCAAAAAGATTCAAACTTTCTCTTCTTCTCTGTAGAATTGTCGAAAGCTCTCACCTTTACGATGGCCCTCGACGGAAACAACGGCGTTGTATGGTTAAACGGCGTCGGAGAGAAGCAGAATCAAGAAGAAGGTAGTGACTACTGGTTCAGTAACCAACATGATCTCGAAAGTCATCAACAAGACTTCAGATTCCTCACTTTCAATACCAACGACAACCTTCTTCTTGATCCCTCTTCCTCTCAATCTTTCACCTTAGACATGATGTCTCACCCTTCTTACAAGTCTTGTCTCCTCAACAACAACACTTTTGATAACAACAATGCATTTGATCAGTTCGGTTCTGATTCTTGTTTCCTCGGACATATCCAACAACCTCCTATAGGGTTTGGTTCGTTGGGGAACCGGGAAAATGACTTCTTGTCTCCTCCGCTGGAGTTAGAAGGTTTCGTGAAGGTTCTGAAGCCTTTAGAGGTGTTGGCATCGTCTAATGCACAGCCTACTCTGTTCCAGAAACGTGCAGCTTTGCGTCAGAGCTCAGGGATGATGAGGAAGCTTAGTGATGATGAGGTTTCCGAGTCTGATGAGGTGAATGAGAGTGGTAAAGTGTGTGAGAGTGTAGGAGGTAAAGGTAAGAAGAAAGGGATGCCTGCTAAGAATCTTATGGCTGAGAGGAGGAGGAGGAAGAAGCTTAATGATAGGCTTTATATGCTTAGATCAGTTGTCCCCAAGATCAGTAAAGTAAAAGAGTTACTTTTATCTCTTGTATCTTCCTTTAAGGGCTTTGTCTTTGTGTTTACTCTGTTTGTCTTTGTAGATGGATAGAGCATCAATACTTGGAGATGCAGTTGATTATCTAAAGGAACTTTTACAAAAGATTAATGATCTTCACAATGAGCTTGAGTCAACTCCAACTTCATCAAGCTTTCATCCGTTAACGCCAACGCCGCAGACTCTTTCTTGCCGTGTCAAGGAAGAGTTGTGTTCTTCTTCTTTGCCTACCCCTAAAGGGAAGCAAGCAAGAGTAAGGCTTTAGACTACTTCATGGTGTTTTTTTTTTGGTTATATGGTTGAGAGACATTGACTTACTTGTGTTTTTTTAATCTACAGGTTGAGGTTAGATTAAGGGAAGGAAGAGCAGTGAACATTCATATGTTTTGTGGTCGTAGACCTGGTCTTTTGCTAGCTACCATGAAGGCCTTGGATAATCTTGGATTGGATGTTCAGCAAGCTGTGATTAGTTGTTTTAATGGGTTTGCCTTGGATGTTTTCCGTGCTGAGGTGAGAATAATAAACATCATCATCTACTTTCAGTTTAAACAGTTGAGATTGTTTCTTACAAGATTTGACTAGTAACATGTTGTGTTATGTTTGTTATCAGCAATGCCAAGAAGGACAGGAGATATTGCCTGATCAAATCAAAGCAGAGCTTTTCGATACAGCGGGGTATGCTGGTGGTATGATTTGATTTGATTCATGAGCATCTGATGGAGCTGAGCTAGAAGAACTAAGCCTTTAAATCAGCAATTTTCTTTTCTCCCTTTCTTCAAATTAAGCAGTAAGCATGTATGCAAATTAGAGTTGTTTAATTTAACCTTTCGAGAACTTGTGGTTGTTAGATACATAGATTACTTCAACCTTTTTTTAGCAATGTTAACCTCATTATGTTTCATCTCCTGAAAGCAATGATGGTTTTCTTTTTCAAAAAGTTATGTTTCTTCATGAGTAATATTCTCAAATAAGAGCAAAAGATGGTTCCAACATGTCCAGGTGGTGTTAGTGAAGCTAGGCTAGACAGGGAACAAGATGTGAGTTCAACAGACAAAACATACAGATTTGGTTTTAGCAAAGTTAAAAATATTGTATCTGGTAATAATGATGATGATTTTAGAAAGAAGAATGAACAGAGAAAAGAATAGGCCCCACTGTTTATATAAACTCTTTTTTCTTTTTACCTTTAATATCCGTACAAAGATGTAAAGGTAGAGAGGAGACAAGAGTTTGATGGCAGTTAGAGACAGAAGAGATAGTGTCACGAGAACCTAGAGAATTTGATGAAGGATGATGAATACAAAGTAAAGTTTGTGGGGGCCATGGAAATTGGTATTGAATCTTCAAAAACTAAAACTTTGATTTGAGTTATGAATGAATATTTATCTCTTTACGTTGTTGCATGATTATTATTGTTATCATGTACTATGAAGTCCTCGTGACTCAAGTTGCTAATGTCCTTTTGAATGATTCAAAGCCGTTTCTTATCCGTTTTCTCTGTAAAAGTCTTTCCTTTTTGAGGATTTACATGCTTAAGATCAGTTGTCCTCGAGGATAGCAAAGTCAATAATAACTAAAAAGTAGTTTTATCCATTTATTTGTGAAAAGTTTAGTCTTTCACATGAAGAAAATGTCTTAAATGGTGTTCCATGTTAATGCTTTTTAGTCTGAGATTTTTTTTTCTTTATTGTTTGATTAGTACCATGTATTTTAAATCATTACTGTTTCATTAACTTTGGAAACTTGGGGTCTGATTCACAACTTTAGTCTTGATGAAGTGGTTATAGAGACTTGTAAAGATACAAACACATATTAACATCACATAAAAAGCTTTTGCTTCTTCTAATTAATATACATCTTTTTGATAGTCAGGTTCGCAGAATTCTCCTCCAAGATCATCGCAAGCCTCTTCTACAAAAACACTGTTTCCAAGTCCCAAAACACACACACTCAGAAGTTGAAAAAACACAAGTTCAGAATCTGATGTACACAAAGTAAAGGGATATATATTTACGTTTTGGGGTTGTTATATTCTAGGTATTCTCGGAGTACCGGTTCTGAAACCACGGGACGTGAGACGGGCTTTGTTTCAAGCTTGACTTCAGGGGAAATATCAGCTGAACATGCATATCCGCTGATCACTTCACATGCTTCGGCTGGGAAAACACTGACCATAGAGATGTCATGTTGAGTCAGTCCATAAGATAAAACAAACAAAAAAAAAGGAAGGGAAGTAAAGGACTTACGAAAGGAGGGAGTCATAGTCAACGGTGAGAGGATCAGAGGTTGAAGGAGATGATGCATTTGATCTGAGAGATGAGAGTCTTGAAGCTTTAGTGTTGGTGATGGTTTGAGGAAGAAGAAGAGTGATCTTTGGAGAAAAAAGTGGTGGTGAAGAAAGAGGAAGAATGGTTGGTTTGATGCACAAGGACCCCTGCATCTTTCTGTTGTTGCAAGGAGGTTGGTTTAATGATTTGGATATTAAGTTGTGTTTTGGAATAGTTCATGGGTATATATATATATTTATATACAGAGCCAGAGCAGAGCAGAAGAGATACTTTTCAAAAAGGATAAGGTTAGGCTTTGTTGTATGCAACTTGTGAGAATGAAAATCACCGGAAGCTTATCCTTCGCTCTTGGAAGATATTTCATCCAACCTTTTTTGGAACTTTATGTGTTGTTGTCTGAGTCAGCAGAATCATAATTGAGTCTTAATACTCTTTTCATAAATGGTGTTGTAAAACTATATGCTACACCTTCACTATCAGTTACATGGATTCCAAAAATAAAAAACAAAGCCAATGTTTGAGAGTTGTACTTGCTCACCACACTGGTTCTTTCTTTGTTCAGCTCATATGCTTCTTTGGAACCTGTCCAATTAACTTGCTATGTATTTGCCTTGATACAACCTGAAGAATTCCGCCTGAACCGGACACTACTCCTCCTGAAGTAAAAAAAAAAAAAAAAATCTAAAAATGTGCACTACAACACTAGTAGAGGAGGCAAGACTCCACCTGAAATAATAATCTTCCAGACCTCACTGTGTTTCTCTTCACAAATAGCTTCATTTCTCAGATTTAACATCTTCTTGCACTTCCATCTTTGATTCGTTTAACTGCTCTGTGTAGCTTAGTCACTTCTGATTCTCTTTTTATGCAAAACAGAGTGACGGTTACAGTGAAAAAAAAAACATTAGTTAGGTCAACTAATATATGGGGAAAAACAAACAGAGCCAACAAGATTGTGTATAAACAACAACTCTCAGATATATTTAACAATTAGGGTTTACGAAATAAAACCGAGAATTACAAAAATTGAACAACACAATAATAGCAATTTTACAAAAAAAAATTGAACAACACAATAATAGCAATTAGATCATCTCCTAGTCATAGTCAATAATTGACAATTTAATAGTAAACAGACAAGATGATAAAAAAAAGAATGTTATTGACCAAATCAGTTCTGCAAGAAACACGCCCAAGATTAAGAGAACATCATTCCAAAAGATGGTTGTGTCTGCATAATCTGCTCGAAATTTGGGGTGTGTGTTTGCATCAGAGGAGGAAGAAGATCCCAGTTGTTGCAGTCTTGTTCCCCAAGCAATAAATCCATGTAATTACTAGTACCATAATAATCTTGATCCTGTTGCGGAATTAGAGCAGTGGAGGAGTTGGGTAACTGAGTGAACATACCATTCTCATGGTTATACAACAACACTGAGAACTTGCTCGATGACGTGGATACATCAACGCAACTACTCTCGGTGCTTGTCGGATTCGATGATGGTTGATGACGAGGATCCACATTAATTAGCGAGTAAGGTAGATCCTGCAAAGGTTGATCAAGATCATGAAATCTTTGAAGACAATCTTTGATTTCCCGTAAGCGAGTCTGCAAAGAATCCTTAAGCCCTAACACCGTCTCCAAGAATCTGCCATCGTTGGCTTTAAGAGACTTTTTCTTGTCGTGGATCATCTTCTTGTTTAGAAACCCTGAGAGATTGGTGCTTTTCTTGTTTCTTTCTTGTTCGCTTAACATGCTGTATCTCTCCGCCATGGCTCTAACCTTGTCTTCTCCTCCGTCCTTCTCATCAGGCCAAGCCTTGACGAGGTTCCCTTCACGGTCGTACCATATGATACAAACATCGACATCGCATAGCTCCGAAAGTTCGAACGCTTTCTTGAGAACCGTAGCCGCTCGTGCCTTGTACAAAGAAGACGAAGGTTTCTTGAAAAGAGCATCTTTTCTCACCGACACTTTGCCCCTCTTCAACTTCTGTGTCCTCATCGTCTTCATTCTCGATCTCTCTTGCAATCTCAAGAAACTAATTAGGGTTTGGGAACACCTTGAGGAGGAGTCAACAAGAATATAGACGAACGAGGATTACTAGTGATTGTGATTGTTCAACTAAGACGTATTATATAGGATTAAAGAAAATACGAAAAAGAAAATTAAAGCAAAATTAAAAAAAAAAGTAGACGTTGTGATGTGACTTGCTAGGAACGTTTTTTAAGTCTCATTGCATATATGCCTCTACTGTACACATAAAGATTTGACACGTAAGCACACTGATTCATAGTACTCCATCACTATTTTTATTTTCTGTGTGTTTTATGGAAAAATCGAAACCAAATATGTTGTTAGATAATTTACTAAATTTCTTGCAGAAAAACAAAATCGTAAAATCTTATATATAATTTACTATTTGTTTGGGTTTTATATTTCAGCTTAATACATCATATATGGAGTCAAATTTGAAGTTTAATGAATATATTTATAAAAAGGTAAAAAATATTTTATGTACTACGGTAACCAATAATATTTTATTTTATTTTTCAGAAAATATTTGCTAGTAGGTAGTTTCAATGTTTAGTTAGACACAAAACCCACATAACTTGGATAAGATAATTTCTTAAGTTTGTAAATAAAATAGTCTTTTTTCTTTGGTAACTTAATAATAGAATAGCGTTTACTTAGTAATTTATGGTTGTTATATAAAAGTAGCCACTATTCTGAATAATTATCGTTTCATAAATGTTTCTATATATGGTATAGACAATTTTAAATAACAAAAAAAAACAGAGAAGTTTCCACAAAAGTAGATTTACAATAGATATCTGAAACGATTTACCTTGCCAATTAGCAATCACAACGGTTGAAATGAATCTAATCCAGAGAAACAATTGATACCATGTTCCTTTTCTGATGTTGCAGTCTTATTCAACATCAAAATATCATTTGTTTTTAGATTAGTTTTGGCATTTTCAAATTGTTTTTGGGTGCAAAATTATTTGTTAAGAAACTCTACAAAAATTGGAAATTTTCTATTGTTGACAAAAAAAATTGGGTGTAAAATGTACCAAATTAATTAAAAATTTCTGTTTTTAATTATTAATTTTTTGTAATCATAAAATTAATTTCTTAGTGCAAGAACATCTACTCTATTAAAATAGAGTCATTCTTTTTATCTACTGATACAAGTTGTCATTTAAATTTAGACTCTTTTTGGAATGTTACAAATAATATAAGTCATATAATTGATTGAACCGTATTACTTAAATTAAACCAACACAATTAATGTAAAGAGACGACCTTAATATAAACCACCTTCAAAATACGACAGGTATATGTGTATATCAAAAACACATATTTTCTCCTACAAATATGGAATGTTCTAAAAGAATATATATCATCAAAATATGGAATATGGAAATCTACTAATTATACTTAAATTAAACAAGTGGTTATTTATGAAATATAGTCTTGGGCTTACTTTTATTTTTTGAACAAATTATATAGTTTGGTTTTTTTGGTTCAGTATTAAGAAAAAACTACAAAAACATTGAATAAACTTTTCACCTTAAAAGATAAAAAAATCAATTATTATTTTCAGACCCAAAAGGTATTTAATATTTTTAACAAAACAAAATTATCTATTATTAATCATTTATTTAAATCATGTACTTTAAAACATGTTAATATATTTTTTATTTTAAATAACAATCATTTTGTTTTGATAAATTTCAATGGTAACTTTTAAATAATTTATTTTCTTATTTTTATTAAATAATTTACTGATTAAAAAAAATGTAAAGCAAAACCAAAAACCAAAGCTAAAAACTAAAATCCAAAACCAAAAGCTGAAAACACATGTTATATTTTTTTGCTTTGTTTATTTACAAAATAAACTATTTCAAATTTAAAAAGAAAATTGTTATCATCTTTTCAGTTTAAATTAGATGTTCGATTATTTGAGATTTGTTTGTTGGTAATATTAGTTCAAACTAACTCAGCGGGTTTAAAAATTAAAAACCCAAACCAAAAACTGAAAATGAAAAGTAGAAACTTAAAAACTAAAAACCAAAATCTAAAAATAAAAACTGAAACTAAAAACTAATGAAAAACAATCATCACCACAAATTTTGGTGAACTGATTTTATATCAAAATATTCTTTAAATTAAGACAAAACCCAATTATATAAATTTTTAATCATAAAAAATTTTCGCGCTTTCAAGCGCGGGTCAAAATCTAGTATAAATTATTAGGAAGTAAAAACAATGATAAAACTTATTTTTTACAATAGTAATAGCATCAATGTACTTTTTAGTTTCTGAACACATCAACATCACATCAAATCCTGCTTCTTTTAATAGACATCGTTTTGATAGTCAGGTTCTCCTCCTAATATACATCTTTTTTTTTGAAAGATTCCTCCTAATATACATCTTACTTGTAAGGGAAGACGACGTATTTCCACACCAGAACTATGGCATAGTAATAAATGTACACAAAGTTTCGAGGTCGTCCTAATTGCACACCGTTGAAGTTAGACAATCAATTTCCACATAATAAGAAAGTTTGAACCTCATTTCCACCTAATCTTTATAAATCGAACTAATATCCACAAATGTCGGTTTAAAATTGGTTAAAGTTCCCTAAACCTAAGGTTAACCAATCCTTACCTAACTAAACCAAAAACTATCCAATTATAACCCGATTAGAGAATAAAAAAACCGATTAAACAACTAAACCATCCCAGAACCCGATTAGAAACCCTAAATCACCAATCTGTCCTGAAGAAGAACAAACACGGTCTCTCTCTCTCTCTCTCTCTCTCTCTCTCTCTCTCTGTCGATTGTGTACCGATTGTGTTTAGTCTAGGTAATTTCGACATCTCTTCTTTGTCTCTGTCTGTCTCTCTCTCTCGTTGTTTCTTTGTCCCTCTGTGTCTCTCTGTTTTGATCTCTCTGTGTCTCTCTCTCGTTGTCTCTTTGCAGGAATCAACAATGGAGTCATTCACTGATGTGAATGTAGAGTGGAGTGATGTTCCGGAATTCAACCATGATCTCTCTGTGTCTCCTCTCGTTGTATTCTCTAATCGGGTCATAATTGGATAGTTTTTGGTTTAGTTAGGTAAGGATTGGTTAACCTTAGGTTTAGGGAACTTTAACCAATTTTAAACCGATATTTGTGGATATTAGTTCGATTTATAAACATTAGGTGGAAACGAGGTTCGAACTTTCTTATTATGTGGAAATTGGTTGTCTAACTTCAACGGTGTGCAATTAGGACGACCTCGAAACTTTGTGTACATTTATTACTATGCCATAGTTCTGGTGTTGAAATACGTCGTCTTCCCTACTTGTAACTTACTAGTCTGAGATTGGTTTACTTAGGGGTGGACATAATTAATTGGTACTCGGTTTGTACTCGCTAATTGATTCGTACTTGGTTCTTAAAGTCGAGTATCAAGTTGTTAATTTCAATTACTTGCAAATATAAGACAAGTACCAAGTACTAAAATGAAAATAACTACTTGGCGTTGTTGGCTTGTTACTCGTGACTTATTACTTGATTTATTATCCGTTTTTTACTTTTACACAAAAAAATCTCTAACTTATAATCAAATTACTTGTTTATAAAGTAAATAAATTAAAAGTGATATAGTATAGAGAATATTTTAGAGTTTTCTTTTAACTTTTTATCTATCATATATCGATTTAAAACATATAAAAATAAATAAATATTTTTTATTAAAAATTGTTTAGATTATAGTTATAATAACTAACTAACTTTTTTAAAAAAAAAATCATATTCAAGGTTTAAGTAGCTAAAATTAATAAATTATTATTAAATAATTTACTAATAATTATATAATAATTTATAAATTAGTTTAGAAGTAAAAAGTAGTAAAACGAAGCAAGTACTTGCAAGTATACCATTTTTTAGTAAGTATTTGAAAATGCAAGTACTCATTTTTAATAAACCAAGTACAAGTCCAAATTTTTATTACTCCAACAAACCAAGCCAAGTACCAAATACGCCAAAAATGGCAAGTACTTAGCTTGTGCCCACCCCTAGATTTCCTGGATATTATGTTATGATTCGGAATTATTCATGGAATGTACCAAAGTGCTTAAAAATTTCTGTTTTTTTAATATTATTTTTTGTAATCATAAAATTAATTTCTTAGTGCAAGAACATATAAATTATTATGAAGTAAAAACAATCATAAAACTTTCAAACTATATTCTACAATTAATTATAGTTGTAAAACTCCAACTTGTAAAACTAAAAAAATATAATAAAACATTATTTCAAGTTTGCTAACAAAACATAATTTCGCAATATAGGTGAAAAACATCATTTAATGTTTGGTGGTAAAATGAAAAGTAAGAGCTTACAAAATATTAACAAAAACCCGGCGTAGGAGATGTGGATTGTGCAAGATTTACATGAATGCTCTAAGTTACTGAAACTAGTCTCAGATTTTCCTCGTTATTGTGTTGATTATAATACCATGTATTTTAAATCATTACTGTTTTATTAACTTTGGGAACTTGGGTCTGAGTCACAACTTCAGTATTGATTAAGTGAAGCTAGCTTTTATATACTAATGAGTGGTTATAGAGAGAGATACAAACACATCAACATCGAGTCCTGCTTCTTTTAATAGTCAGGTTCTCCTCCTAATATACATCTTTTTTTTTGAAAGATTCCTCCTAATATACATCTTACTTGTAATTTACTAGTCTGAGATTGGTTTACTGAGTTGGATATTATGTTTTTCTTTTGTGCAACGGATATTATGTTATGATATATATACATCTTACTTGTACTTTATGTTATGATTAGGAATTATTCATGGAATATACAAGATATTTTATCCAACCCTTTTGGAGCTTTCTGTTGTTATCCGAGTCAGCAGAATCATAACTTATAGTTCTGTCTTAAATGGTGTAAACTATGCTACACCTTCATTATCAGTTACATGGATTCCAAAAAACAAAGCCAAAGTTTTGAGTTGTACTTGCGCACCACACAGGTTCTTTCTTTCTTTATTCATTTTTTCTTAGAAGCAAAGCTTATACATACACAAACCTTTCAATAGCGACGTACACTGGTTGTAGACAGAAGCACCCTGCTCTGTTTCTTCCCTCTCTTTCCTGGCTCTTTGATGGCTACAGGTGCCGTTGGTGTTCTTGATGTCACACTAGCGAACGATGTTGTGTTTGTGTTTCTTGCACCTGCAAACCATGTTAAGAGGTCACATCAGTGAAACCCTTAAGAGAATTTGCTGAGAGCTAAAACAGATGTTACCTGTGGTTGCATTTGTGACTTCACTGCTGCTGCTGCTTTGAACGTTTGTTGGTTCATTATTTAGGTTTGGAGAGTCGTGGCCAGCTGCAAAACCGAGCCTTGTCACGTGTGAGAAGGAACTTCTCTCTCCAATGTTTGGAGGGCTTGACGATACTACTGGGGCTGCAGAGTTTCCAAGGGCTAAAACAAAAAAAGTTTTCTGATTAGATATCAGCAAAACCATATACTTAACCAGAAGAGGTTCCTTTTTGTCTACCTTCAAAATCATCCAAGGAAAATGAAGGATCGTCGTCATGATAAAACTGCCCAAAACTGGCCATCAATGGTGCAAGCTCTGCAGCTGCAGCTACTTCAGCTTTTATTTTATCTTTTCGCTCCTAAGAAAAATAAAACACAACATCATAAAATAAATTTGTAGCCATGAGTTTTCCTTTTCCAGTGGGATTCAGAGTACTATGATCATATGCTATCCCTAAGCGAATCAAACACTAACAAGAGGAAGTAAATAAATAAAAACCATAGGAAGTTGGAAGCTGAATAGGTTTAGGAAAAGAGACGATGAGTTGTGAATCGTGATCATGGTTAAAAAAAGAGGAATACCTTCCTAGCACGTTCTTTCCTCTGCTTCTCACGCTTCTTGATTTCATCCATAAACGGAGCAAATGCTTCAGGAGGTAATGAGTCCCTCATATCAATCTCACATATCTGAAAAGATTATGAAAAAAGAGAATAAACCCCATGGAGAAAATGTTTAGATAAAGAAACTTGAGCAGGATATAGAGCCAAGGAGAAATCCAAGGGGGGAAATGTACCTGAAATGTAGTTGTTAAAGAAAAATGACTCAAGAAGCGGTATCGTCTCCTTATCGCTTCTGATTGGGTTACAGTCTCCATTTCCACTATCTTCCCACTCACTCTGTCGTTTAATGGATAGAAAATCAGAAACTCTATACATCCACAAATTTACTTGCATTCACTCTTATGAGTCTTGATTATCACACTAAATAACATTTTCATTAACTAGGTGACATACACCACACACATTAGAACTAGCATCCAAAATCCAAGCAGAAATGACTAGTCAATAAAGAGGATTTCCATTGAAATATATATCCTTGATTAGTCAATGAAAAGATTATTGACTCTTACCTTGTTGGAAGGAAGTCATTGCTTCCATAATGGTGCAGAAGGCATTTCATATTCAAAGAGTGGAGAATAATATGCTGCCCATCAACGGACTGCATAGGCACGCAATTAAGGTACATAAGTAAGAGAAAATTTTGAGTGTTGTGGATGTTATTTCTTTTACCAACACAACAGGAAATCACTTTGATATATTCACTGACCAGCACATAGCAAAATAAAATCATCATGCAGCTGATACTTAGTTTGCAAACACAAAAGTATCCATCAAAAACTGGTTTACCTGGTAAAAGTTGTATGCATCATCGTTGTCCTTCAGGTCTTTGCTGTCATTATGGTGCAAAAGGGGCTTTTTACTCCCATTGTGTGAGGAAGACAATAACAGTGCATCCTTGTCTACAAGAGAGTGACCATTATCACAACTCTTTTCCAAACTAGACTGAGATTCCTCATCCGACTTACCAACCGAAGAATCTTCAGTTGATTTATCTTGATCGTTGGAGCTGCTAGGCGCTTGATAACCAACTCGAGAAACATCAGGAGGCGAGGAGGATGAAGGTACATGATTCCTAGCCTTCGTGTTTGATTTGCAGCAGTTAGAGAGCCTCTGCTCCTTCCAGTACAACTTCCTCTCCTCCAAACGCTCCAAAGCAGCATTCACATAAAGGTGCTTCTCCAAGTCCTCCACAAGCCCAGGATCTGCTCTTGCAATCCAACCGTCCAACTCCGAAACTGCTTGTCTGACAGAGAGATCAACATCTTGCGTGAACGTGAACTTCGAAAACGGATCAGGAGCATCCAAGTCACTCTCATTCTTCCTAGTTGGTGCAAAAGAGTCCTTCTTCCGAGTCAAAAGTATAAACTCTATAGGATCTCCAACAGAGTACTCCTTCACGTTCTCGATATAAACCGTGTACAACTCTCTAGGAGATATCATCACAAAGCACAGAGGACACCTCTTAAAGCACTCCGACTTGTGATTCTCCTCGCCAATGAGAAGATACTGCAGAACACACGGGAAGCAGAAGATATGCCCACAGGAGGTTATCTGCGGACAGAGAGGATACTCCAAGCAGATAGGACACTGCACAGGAGAAGGAGTGGAGTACCTCACGCAGATGATGTTATCCCACTGCAGGGTCTTATCAGGATCCATGGAGTCAGGAGAATGGTCACCAGTGTCCAACACAACAAACTTGTAATTCGCCTGGAGAAACAAGTCCTTGTTATAAGGCCTCCTCTTGTGCATTTGCCTTCTCTGAGGTGGAGGAGGGGCCCTAGACTGTGGGGGAGAGATAGGATCATACTGAAAGTTCAGTAAATGGTTGCCGCTGATTGTATTGGCTCGTCTACCAGTAGGATTGTGATGCGAGACGACTCTCTGAGAGGGTCCGGTAGTGTTGTGCTGCATTTGAGAAGAAGAAGCAGTAGCAGCTCGGGTATTTCTCCCTCTCGACCTATTTCTTCGACTATCATATCGAAGATGGTCATGTCTTTCTGCATTAGGTGGGGATAAACTTTCCTTCCCTGCTCCAATTTGCGTTATCTGCAACGTAGGAAAATAATGAAGGAAACAAACATTTAAAGTTTCCACGGTATAAAGTAGAAGTCGCGTAGTAGTACACATTGTGAGAAGTATATAAACTGTACCTCTTGGGAAGCTCCACGGCTATGTTCCTCCTCAGCTGCAGCAATCGGGTCTACAGTATAAAAAATTCAAAATTAGAGAAAGGGAATTAATCTAAATAAAGCTCAATTTTTATAAGAAACACTAAACAGCAAATTAAAATTCAACCAAAATGTAAGAACCCTTAAAAAGAGAGCAAAACGAAAACCAGAGCAGATCAAAGCTCACATTTTTCAACGAAACCCTAAACAGTAAACATAAATTCAACCAAAATGTAAGAACCCTTAAAAAGAGAGCAAAACGAAAACCAGAGCAGATCAAAGCTCACATTTTTCAACGAAACCCTAAACAGTAAACATAAATTCAACCAAAATGTAAGAACCCTTAAAAGGAGGCAAAATCGAAAATTAGAACAGATCAAAGCTCGAATATTTAAAGAAACCCTAAACAGAAAATTTAAATACGAGTTCGTCAATGTTAAAAAAAAAACCTATAAAAGGGGGCAAAATATAAAACAAGAGCAGATCAAAGCTCAAATTTTTAAGGAAACCCTAAACATCAAATCAAATTCCGAGTTCAGCAATGTAAAAACCCTAATAAAAGAGGGCAAAATAAAAAAAAAACAGAGCAGATCAAAGCTCAATTTTTTTAAAGAAACCCTAAACAGCAAATCCAAATTCAGGTTCCCAATGTCAAAACCCTAATAAAAGAGGGGTAAAATCATTTAGCTGGACAATCAATTTCCCTTACCGCGAGAGCCACTTGAGAAACCATCAGCAGGGGGGAAAGAAGATCCGGAGCCGCTGAGGGATCCAATTGCAGAGGAAGGAGGAGGAGAGACAAGAGAGTTGTTGCCATGCTCAGAGCTAGGGTTTAGCGTCGAATTCGAAGAAGGAGGAGAAGATTGGTGACCTTGGATATGCGTAGGAGGCAAGATGGACATGAAATTTTTAGGGATGACAAAAGTGATTTATCGCCGGCTCAGAGCCACAGCCTTTCTTTCTTTCTTCTTCTGATTCTTTCGATTACACTTTTTTTTTAATTTTTCAAGGGCGAAAAACATGTCGGGTTTTTTTCTTTCTTTGATATACAAACACATGTACCGACATGTACCCGACCCGGGTCCGGAACCGGATAGGATGATTCCTTTCTACGCGGGTGGATATACCGAATCTTATAGTTTGATACCGTAATTCCCCCGGTTTATATTTGATTTCTTTTACTTTTGGTGTTTGAGGCATAAACCAGAAAAATCCATTTCAATGCATATATTTTCGATTAGATGGTTTTCTGAGTCATATGCAGAAATATTTAACTTTTTCACTAATATAATGAAATAGTTAATTGCAATTCAAATCGAATGTAACGTTTGCTCATGATTTAATCAGGGAGGTAGTAAGTAGGTTTATCTCTTTATTCTCGCCCTACCTTTTAACGTTCCCTTAGCTTCTAGAGTTAATCTTGGCCGTTAGAATCAATACTCCGAATGGTTTTATTTATAATTGGGTCTTAATTCTTTTTATATTTAGTGAAGGTAACAATATTAGGCTTTATTGTCTCTGAAGGATTTAGGCCCATTTAAAAAGTATATCTCTATAAATAAACTTTATTCTGACTTAAAGCCATAAGATCCACTGTAGCACTGGTTAAATAAGGAAATCTCCTGACATTCCTGGTTCGAAGCCCGGCAGTGGAAATATTTTTTATATGAATGAATATGTTGAAAAGAGACAATCTTTGCTCTTGTTTCTTGGATATAAAGTTATATCTTAATTTAAAAAAAATATATATTTTCTCTTAATAAGCATCCTAATGAGTAATGAGTGTTTAAGCACCATTTTTAAAATGACTGACCATCCAAACATTTGAAAACCTAAAACTGCAACTGCAAACTATACTATGCATGAAGAACCATGTACTGATTTGTTTTGCCTTCGTAGAACCAAGAATAATATAACTATTTATTTGAAATATTACTAATGTATAATCTGAGATTTCAAAACTTCTTCTACTTTTTCAATATAATTTTTTTAACATATCTTCATGATAAAAATAACAAAATTGCTCAAGCAAGTGAACTATCAACAACAATCAGCCTCCTAACGAAATCAATCCACCCTTGAACAGTTATAACATAAATCAATTCATTCGGTATATGATGAAATGAGTCAGATGGTCATTAAACCAATCCACCCTTGAACAGTTATATAAACACATTCTCTCCCCCAGAAAAAGAAAAGACAAAAATGGGATTCAATGCTTGAATCATGATCTCTCAAACAGACCTTTAACATAAACCATGCCTTTCTCACTAAGCTGAAGCTCCTTCCTCATCTCTTCAACTTGTACATCATCTCCTTGAACCACAATCTCATCCAGTTTCCCTTTTTTTCCCACCATCATCTTCACCTTTATCTCCTCTTTCCTCGACGCCTTCTTCCAGTAATACGCTCCTCTGCACTACCACCATCATCAATTCATCATCACCAACCATTCACAAAACATTTTCATAGAGACAAATAAAGAGAGAGGAACCTTACGCGAGTGGACTAAGAATGGTAATAAAGAACCAATTATTCCCAAAGTCAGGAACTGTAATGGTTAAAACAAGACCCACACTTGCTAAACTTATACATGTACAAAACGTGAGCAGAGCAGCTTGTCCTCTACTCGGAACCATTACTCCTTCAAACCTTTTTGTCACAATCCAACAACAAACGTCAGTAACTTAACACAAAACCCATAAACTTTCCTTCCAAATTAGCCTTACGTGATAGTCTCTCCACGATCAGTAACATTAAAGTTCTTCCTTGTGAAGAAAGAAAGAATCTCTCCAGCAACTTGATTCGGCTCCTTCTTGACTCCTTCGCTAACAACGAACGTCTTCCTCACAATCTGTATCAAAAAAAGCTTAAGAGATGGAAGACTTGGGGATGAAGTTAGGGTTTTTTTGTAATTCGATTTAAAAGTTCGAAACCTTTGATTTAACAGAGCGTTTGATGAGTGACCAAAGACCTGGAACTGAGATAACGAACAAACCCAATGACGTGTAGTAGCTAGCTAACGAGTAACCACCGCTAGTCTCAGCCATCAAGAGTAATGAGTTAGGGTTTTGTTCCCACCATTGATGAATCTGAATTGCTGAAGAAGATACAGCAGAGAGTGGCTCCACTACCATGGCCGTTACGGCGGCGACTCTGTTCCGCTTCGTCTCCCATACATGTCTCCGTTGTCCTTTGATTATGACATCTCTTGAAGTCATCCATGGACAAGACAACGGCGGAGAAAACAGCTTCGTCGCCATTGTCTGAAAGTGAAGCTTTCTCTGTTGGAAAAAAAAGAAGCTTAAGGCTTTACATGGATCGTGTGTGTGTAAATGAGTCTATCCATAATCGTGTGGTTCTCATTTTTTCTTAATTTTTAAACAGAAATTTGGATTTATGACGTCATTTTAATAAAACATAACCTCTGTTTCTGTTAAGACAATATCTGTTTTTCTTTTTCTTACAAAGCTTCAATCAACAGTAATGTTTTTATTTTGTGTACTTTGTCACGTCAAGATCTTGGAAGATAGATGAATGAGACCCACTATCATTTACGAGTTCAACGTATACGGGAGAAGAGTCTTTATCATTAGATCTTTCTTTCCGACACAAAATCAGACCATAACAAGATTCGAGTGTTTGGATTCTGACCGACTTGGGCTTGGTTGTTATCTCTTTGGTAGTAAAGGCTATAAAGTATAGGTAGATTGAAGCTATGGTCAATTATTTTCCCAAAATTGCTAATTTATAGGACATGTAGCTCTGAATCTTTGGGTACAAGCATAATAATTATGGGTTCTTGAAACAGAGGAATTGTTAGAGCATCTCCAATGGTGTTACTACCATTGGAGTCCTTAGCATTATTAAATGCATTTTTTTTTCTAATTTTTTTTTGTTTAAACAGTTAAGGATTCTAATAAAAAATGTTTGTCCAATGGTGTACTCTATTTTGAAGTTCTTAGGGAAAAAAAAACTATTTATAGATTAATCCTCCAATTCATAAACCACCAACAAACACTAATCAAACTCAGCTTCTTTCTCCAAGTAACAAACTCTTGTTACCACCAAACTCAGCTTCTTTCTCCAATACATCAAACTAAGACTTAACACTATGGGAACTGAACAGCTTCAACTCGTCTGTGTGCCACATATATCTGGTCCAAACATTAGACTGCATACAAAAATAAGCACTAATCAAAATTTCTAAACACAACACCATGTAAAGACCACATAGTAAAAACATCTCAACCTAACTAAACCAAGGCAACTAAACTAAGATTGCTATATATAACCTTCAAGGAGCTAAATGTTCATTAAAAGAAGACATGAAGTTTAACCTGTAAGGAGTATCACCACCAAACTGCTTCTGGTTAACGTATCCAGAGAGGAGCTTGATGTAAGCGACACCACATTCAGTGTCTTGTTAGATTTTAACAGAGTACTGTACAACAAGAGTCCTGTTTTTGCTAAACTCTGGAATCTTTGCAGAAATCGCATAATGCTTGGCATCATTATAGGTTTGGATACCTAAAACACAAGAAGAAACTCCAAGTCAACTACAAAGATCAAAATCCAATACACTAAGAGAACACCAAACATATCTAAGAACTAAAACACTAAAGCATGATTTCAGGACAAGACATGAAAGGAGAGAGTATAGGAATTAAGATTCTCTCTCTGTCTGATTCTTCAGAGGCAACTGGTTAAAAAAGTCTAAAAGGGTAGAAGAAAGGCATCAAATTCCTTTTAACAAACCAAATCAAATCAAATCAAGCTTCCTAATTTCTTAATCAAGACATCAAATTCCACAAGAAACAGAAGGAACCACATCAAAGAAGGACTAGTTGCATAAAAACAAAGGACTCTAATTCCAAATAAAGAACGTAACTTTACTCCCAATCCGGGTTTCGTGATGATGAGGTCGTAGCAAAGAAGGGAGTATCTGAAGGCTTTTTTTGGGTTTGTTGATTCTGGATCAGGGTTTCGGAAAAGGTTGATTGCGGAGGAGGGGTTATTCTCGCGGCGGAGGAGAGAGGCGAGCTTGAAGGAGGAGGAGAGTATCTGAAGGTTTTTTTCCACTCTCTGTTTGATATGATATGAAGAGAAGAAGGAAGTCAAGAGAAAGAAGAGAATTCATCGAAGGCTAGAAAGAGAGAGAAAGATTGGGAGAGGAGAGGATGATAGAGATGAGAGAAGAGTGCCACGTCGGTAAGGATCAAATCCTTAAACTCCTTACCTAAGGATTCTTTCTTAACTTACCAAAATTTAATATTGTTATTTTAATCTGTTTTGCCTAGGTTTTTGTGCTAAGAATTAGCTAACATCCCGCGTTGCGGGTGGTCTTATCATTTTCTGCTAGTTCAACAGATAGCCAATTGGTATCTTTTGAACTTGTCCAACTTGGTTGGTTGGGTCAATATTACATGTTATGAAGAAAGTAAACTGTTAATCTTTGGTCCAAATTTGATATCTACTGGTGCTATAAGTGGATTTATAACAAACAAAGAAACACACAACATTCCACTCTTTGCTTCCTTTATTCAATAGATAATGTTTTTACAAAGGTTACATTTTCTGCAATCATTTTCAAAAGATTGTATGCTGAAAATAATTGACGAATAAAAAAAAACAAAAAACAAACGAATAATAATAGCTCACCAGTTCTTTATACCATTAAAACATAGCAGCTGTTCAGTCTTCTGATTGTTTTTTATCACAGAGAACTTATATATATATATATATATATATATGTAAACGTAGTCATTTTTAATCACTTTGATTATTTAAAAAGCTGACTACCAAGAGTAAACGTACCTTCACCCATTACTGTTGTTAAGCTCACTTCTTTGTCTAATATTCTCTCAAGCTCTGCCACAACATAACTCATTGTTGGTCTCTTCGCACTTGAAACATCAAGACATATCAGTGTCAGTGTAATAACCTCCTCCACTCCTTCTGCTGTGTATGTACCACCTAGTCTCTCATCGATCATTGCAGGTATATCAGTGTAGTCCGTTATGTTTTGCATCTGAAAATCAATAAACATCACTCCAGTGCATACAAGTGAGATTCAAAAATACACTTCATTAGCAACATTCTCTGTGATTACATAGTACATTACCCATTCGACTAGAGTTTGTGATGAGCGTGAAGGGGATGGTTCTGATGCCTCTCTTCCACTTACTAACTCCAAGAGGAATACCCCAAAAGCATAGACATCACTTTTCTCTGAGAATCTTCTGAACTCTTGAACCCTGCAAGAGAGGAAAAAATCTAAGAAACTAAAGAACAAAATCATGTGCAAGGCTGGTCATGAGCATAAGCTGGTAAAACATTGGCATATGGCCCCTAAAATTTTAAGAAAAATTTACATATATATACTCTTAAATTCGTAAAAAAAAAATTATATAAACATATTAAATTGTTAATATCCCCTAAATCTCAGGTTCGGTCCTAATCATGTGAGGCTTAAAGGTAATTACTCTGGGGAGAGGAAGATGTGGTCAGCAACAACGTGAGACGATGTACCAACATCCTCTCTTCCTAAGAAATTAGGAACTCCTGCATCAGCAACTTTGGCAATGAAGTTTTCATCCACAAGAACATTAGCAGTTTTGAAGTCCTTGTGTATCAACCGAGGACTCAGTGAGTGAAGATGTGCCAATCCTAAAGATATCAAAAGGGTCTAATACAATATCAGGACACATTTGATTCAAGAAGCTGCATATAAGTTTACCTTTAGCTGCTCCTATAGATATGGCAAGCCTGTTTCTGAACTCTAGCCTACTTCCACCAGCACCTAACCAAAGAAAATAAATATTCAAACATTCTCTACTAAACACATGTTATCAAAACTTATTAGTTACCAAATCTCTATAAGGACAGAGAGTCACCGTACAGGTGATTAGAAACATTTCCATTAGGAACATATTCGTAGACAAGAAACTGCATGTTGCTTTCTTGGCAATAACCCAAAAGAGTAACAAGATTACGATGCTTGATAGATGATAGATAACGAACCTGAAAAAATCATTTCACAATAAGCTTGTATACATGTTCAGATTCTAGATTATAACCAAAACGTTGAACAATGGAGTTATTATATAATAACCTCGTTGACGAATTCTTGTGTAGGCAAAGTGGTTCTTTTCTTGATGGACACGAGAACACCGTCTTGAAGCAAACCTTTGTAAACCTCTCCGAATTTTCCTGTACCAATGAGGCTTTTATTGGTGAAACTCTTGGTGGCTTGAGCAAGTTCCTCCATTTCAAACCTTCTTGATTCTCTCATTGACAACTCCATTGCAACATTTGTTCCTTCTGTAAACACACACAATTAGCAAAAAATTCTAAATTATGAAAGAGAGAAACTGATGGGATATGTGATTTATACATACCTTGAGTTGATGGATCAGAAGAGCCAGTCTCAGACGCATTCTTGCGACGAAAAATGCAAAACCATAGGACAAGAAGTAAAACAGCAATCAAAGCAAGAGCTCCAACAGCAACTCCAATGGCTGCTGCAGGAGTTGATGACATTTGTAAACACACTTGCCTCTCTTTGTCTCTCTGTGATGCTCCAAGCTGCTTCCTACCATGCGATAAACCTGATGAAAAAACACGAGAATGTCGGCAAAATAAAGAAGCAGAGGAAGAAGAAAAAGACAAGACAAAACAAAAAGCAAACGAGGTGACAACTTGTAAAGCTGAATGCGATTGTAATGAATGAACCACTCAAACATGCAGTAAAAAGATTTTAAAGAGGGAGAAAAAGATTTCATTACAACCTTTGACAGATGAATGAAGCTTTCTACCTCATCGGCCAATAAATATATATAAAAAAGTAGGATTCAAGTAGAAGAGGAGCTTTTGAACATCAATTCTTCTAGAACTCGAAGGTAAAGGGAAGAAAAATAAGAAATGGAGTATTGTGTCCGAACACAGACAATGCCGACAGAAAGTGACATCACGAAGACAACAACTCAACACACTCTGTCTCTCTCTCTTTCCTAAGACTGAGATGCACTTACTCAGAACTACCACCAACAACAAGAAGAAGAAGAATCAAACCATTTACTAATGTTTTTGTTTTGGGATAATAAAAGAATAAAAAGAGACACAAGTGAAGCAAGTGAGTCACTTAAGCTAGTAATTACTTTGGTCAAAAAAAAAAAAGTTAGTAATTACAGCTAAATGTAATTTTTATTTTTTGGGCTTACCAGAAAGAAAAGGAGAAACTTTTTTTTTTTGCTTAAATTTGGAAAAAAGGAGAGAAACTTGAACTGCCGTGTAATGCAGTTTCAGCCGCCGTAAATCTATAAGAGACGGCAAACACACGAACACAACTCTCTGTCTCTGGCTCCTACTCTTCTTTTTACTTGGTAAATCTCTCAGTTTTTCCTTTCTTCTTTATCCTTTTCTTTTTCGCATGTTCTTTTTTCAGATGGTTATTTTAAACACTAGTAAACTAGGTAAAGAGAATTCTATATACAAATTATTTTATATATTATTATTTATATTATGTCTTTTACATATTATAAAATAAAAACATATATATATATATATATATTGAATAACTGGTGGCAAATATTATATATAACTAAATTAGCATGCTCACATAAATAGAAAAATCACACTTATTTATTTACAATCACTCTATATAAGTAAATCTAGAAAATAATATATATATATATATATATATATATATATATATATATATATATATATATATATATATATATATATATATAAGTTTTATATCTATTCAATGAAGTTTCATACTTATATGGTTTTATGATAATTTGTATGTTTATAACAAAATTTTTAAGCTATTAATAACAAAATTTTAAACCATTGATAACATAAAATTTAATATGGAACGTTTAATATTTATAGTAATTCATAATCATTTTAAAAAATTAAATAAAAGTTTGAAACTAAAGTATTAAATTCTCTAATTTTTCAATGTAAATTTTGAAATTAAAACTTTATATATTTTAAGATGGTATATAGTTTAATTTAAACGTCATTAGAGAATTATATATATATATCAATCTGAAGATCTATTAAATGATATTTTCTACTCACTGATTGTATAATCATTTCTAATTTTTTGTAATAACAAAATTATTATCACAAAAATCTATGTTGAATTTAAAAGGTTTTTGTTAGTTTATAGTTAATTTAAGAATTCAAAATATAACATATACCAAAAATCTAATTTGTTGTATTATATAGTTACTGTGATTGTTTAATTTATTTTCATAATATAAATTTAACAAAAATAATAGAGGGAACATATTTATATCAAATATTTTTTATTAAAATCACTAATGATCATATATATATAAAATTCTGTAACATTTATTTAACGAAATAATGAAGAGTATTAATAATAGTTTACTGTCAATTTAATAAAAAGTATATCATATATTTATATGGACCAACATTCTTTCTCTAGAAATATTGAAAATCATTTTAGTAATAACACGTGTCATAATAAGAATGTTATAATGCTTCTTTTTTAATATTTAGGAAATGTGTCTGCTGAGTTTACTTGAATGTCAAACTACAAAAAAAAAATATTTACTTTCACAAAATAATGTAACCGGTGACAGATAGAAATTAATAAGAAAAAAAAACTAAATCATAATTCTTAGAATTTGTTTTTTTTTTTCCTTCTGTCAATTAGCGTAACTGGAATAACTGTTTATGATAATAAATAACCATGCTTTCCATAGATTTAAGTTAATGTTATTTTTAATGATATTATATAAGATGTTAGTAAATTGTACTAATTTTATAAAACCAAGGTTCAATCATTTCATTTTTTTTTAAATTATACTATTACATTCTTCAGTTCAATCAATTTTTCGTTGCTTAATGATTTCTACTATAATAATCGTAAAGTTCTATGCAATTTTTTGTACAAACGCTTTTAATTTTACATTTTAGAGTGTTATTACTTAATATTAAAACTTGAACGCACCAATATGATGGAAAGACAAATTTCTACTAGTATGCTTATTTTATAGATTTTTTTATGAACTAGTTTTGTTTAACTGGTACTATTACAAAAAAGAAATGGTTAGAAAGCAAATTAAATAATTAATGGTGATATTAATGACGAATAGATATCCACCGAACAAATATTCTTTAAATATAAAATCAACAATCTTACTTTTTGACGAAATAAATAATGAGTAGGAATGAGTAAAAGGAGAGAGAAGAGAGATAAGAAGATAAGAGTCGCCGACCACTTCCTCGGCCGATGATGGTGGGCTTACACGGACACGTCGTTGGTCGGGATCTGATATCGTTGCTGTAGATTGTTTTTTCTTTTAGTTTTTTTCTTTGTATCCAACGGCGCACGTTTTATTCGGTGGTCGTCGGCTCTTGTCGCCGTCGTTGTACCTGTTTCGATAAAGGTAAATGGTCGGTTTAAGGCTAAGCGTTGCAGTATCTTTTCTGTCAACGGCTTCTCTGTGTTAATGGTTGATGATTTGTGGTTTGAAGGTTTGTTTGTCCCGGATGAGATCTCAATTCAGGTTGATGGAAGCTCTCTGATGGATTAAATGAAGGTTCGTGAGATGTTGATGATGATTTGTAGGTGTCTGGAAGTGGTGGCTTTTTGTTAAGGATGAGATCTCGAATTTGCGAAATTCTCCATCAACAAAAGCTAAGGAAAAGAAGATGTATTCACCGTAGGTGGTTTCCGTCCGGTGAAATGCCGTTTATGGTTCTCGGTGATGTTCTCCCGGCGGCGGCGCAGTAAGGTTTACATCTCATGTGTTCTGTATTTAGGGTTTGGATGTTTGTTGTTTTTTTGGGGTTTGTATGGATTTATTCTCTTTAGGTTTTGGCCCATTATATTATTAAAAATTGATGGAAAAAACAAAATAATGAGTAGGACCACATTCTACATTGCAGAATAAAAACGTAGGGGTACAAGACCATAATCCAGCTATATATATACATGTTCGGCGTTCGTTACTGACGCTAATCCAGCTGCTTGAATGTTGGTCTTGACTTTTTATTACTCCACTATTCTTTTTCTTCTAGTGCATAAAGCAGGTGACCTGCATGGCGTTTGTACCCTCACCGCTTTTGATGTTGTTCTCCTCTTCCACCCTATTTTTAGCCAATCGATAATTTTGGTTGATTTAAATTAATTCCAAAAATTGTCATTTATTAACTATAAATAGAACTTATTACTGCCTACTAGTTTCACACATACGCTCATTCAAAAGAAAAAAAAAATCTTAGACAACAAAAATAAAATATTTATGTGTGTTGTGTGGCAATTAAAAGAAATGTTGTAGTTTGTGTTGTGTTTTGCATTATTCATTTGCTCTAGTTTGAAGGTTAGATTATCTTATTTTTATTTTGTTAAATTGTATATATTTATTTATATTAATTTTGATCATTAATTCAAAAAATTCTTCTGCTAAAGGGTGGATGTTACAAAGAAGACTGTTGTAGATTTGTGTTGTGCTGTACTAGTAGTGTTGTTCCTCATTTCTTTCCAACATAAGGTTAAATTTTTTTTTGTTACTTTATTTATATTAACTTAATCATATTAGATATTTTTGATCAAAGAGAATATATCATAAGAAATATATTTATTTGGAAAGTCTCTATACATGATACATTTTAGTGTTTTTGAACATTTATATTTTAGAGTTTTAGAGAGTTTTAGCTCTATTTTATGCATGTAAATAAATAATATAACTGTCTATATATATATATCTATATATATATTAACTTAAAATAAAAAAATTATCATATTTGAATGAATTCAACATATTAAAAATTAAATTTATATATAAAGAGTGATACTAAAAAAAACAATTATGAAAAAAGGATTTATATAATGTATACCATATACATGTAAATTATTAGAATAATACCTTATAGATGTATCAAATGGAATAAGATATGTGTTACACTTTAATTTACTTAAAATGTAAAATAGAAAATAAATAAATATAGATGACATTATATTTATTAAAGAAAATAGTAATACATATATTATTAAGATATTATTTCTAAATTTTAAATCATACATTAATATGATTTTGTATTGTTGACGAAAATGATTTTGTATCATAAACATGAATGTTGAAATAAAATATATTTGGAGGTTTTAGCTATAACAAATTAACGCGCTGATATGGGCTTTATGAACTTATTAATTAAGCTTGTTGAAAAGAAAAAAAGACTTAAATACCTGAAAAGAAAAAATACATACACGAGATAAATTAACAATTGAATGGGGACAAAACTCTAAATTAAATTAATGTGTCTTTTCAGTCCTCATCATTTTCTGTTTGTATTTTTCTGGTGCATGTGCATATATATATATATATATATGTTAGAAAATATCTATTTAAGAAAACTATATTATAAATATTAGAAACATTATTCAATAATGATTTAGAAACTACTTTGTTTTTTTTTGTAATCAACCAAATAATAAAGAGTGGATTACTTTTAATCAACAAAGCTAATAATAGTTATTACATAATTGTAGATATGAC